CTGTGTATGATCTAGCACCAGCTCCACTTCGTGCGCATGCGTAGTATAATCAACAGAATCACCCTTTTAGTCCAATGTAATCCTAAAGGTCCAAAGACGTCACACAAAAATGTTTCCCAGTTTGCTATTAATTTACCTAGCATTGTTCTGGTATATGCAAATTTATATATCATACTCCCATACTTGTTTGAGAAAAAAAACAAAAAAAAAAAAAAAACAAAACAAAACACGTAATAAAATTATAAAATTTCTGTTAGTATTAGTATTAAGAAAAAAGAAACAAATAAAACCCTCTGAAACCAGGGAGTAGTCATTCATGAAAATATATATATATATATATATATATATATATATATATATATATATATATTTGCCATAAGATTTGTTTCTATTTATTATCTATGCCTCATGAGTTTATTTAACTTTTTACAAAATTGTTTTAGCCCCAGACATTAGAAATAAAAAAATAAAAAAAAAAAAACACATGAAGATATTCCTCCTGAAAATTTTACATCAGTCGATTTTTTTTCTATTGATTTGAAAGAAAAAATGGCATCAACCAAAGTTGGGGGTGATGATGAAATTGAATAATAATAATAATAATAATAATAATAATAATAATAATAATGATCTTAAGAAGAAGAAGAAGAAGAAGAAGAAGAAGAAGAAGATGATGATGATGATGATGATCTAGTGCTTGGTAATGTACAAAGATTTACGCTGTCGAGCTAATAAAAAAAAAGTCATGACAAAAAGAGATGAAGAGAGAAAAAGACCGATAACCATATTCGAACTAATAAAAGAAATAATAAGAGAAAAAAACAGGCGTCAAATTATTTTTTCAAAGACGCGACAAGAGAAGAAAAATTGGGAGGATAAGTATAAAAACTAAATAATAAGTTAATAGTCGAATAAAAAGAAGACAAGTAAAAAAACGAAGAAGTAAAATGAGAAGAATCAGAAGGAAAATGGCAGGAATTAGATGTAAAAATGAGAAGAATCACAAGAAAATTGGCAAGAATTAAAAAAAAAAATGAAAAGAAATAATAGGAAAATATCTAGAATCAGAAGGAAAATGAAAAGAGAAAGAAAATAAAAAATAATGAAAAGGAAAATGAAAAGAAATCAGAAAGAAAATACCAAGATTCAGAAGGAAAATAACTGAAAGAAAGAAGTGAAAAAAAAAAAAGAAGAAAGTAAGAAAAAAATGACTTTAATTCTAGAAACATACATAAAAATTTATACGTTTAGTTAAAAGTCAAAATAAAACCATAGAAATAAGATTTTATCACGTTAAACATTATTTAAGGGATACAGATATCTGTATAGACGTCCCTTATATTTATTTATTTATTTTCATTTACTGGAGTGTATATTTAAAAAATCTTATTAAAGAATTCTATGCACCATCCAGCATATTTTTCTTTAATAAGAAAGATCAACATATTAAGATCAACAGACGGCAGTTAAAATAAACTTGACCTATATACTAAAAATATTAACATCTAGTTTCTATAAGGCGTAAAAGATATATATATATATATATATATATATATATATATATATATATATATATATATATATATGCCGATTCTCTTTCCGCTCCCAAATATTACAAAACAACAACGGGTAAATTTAAAAAAATACCAAAATATTTTAAAATTAAAAAAAATAATAAAACTGAGAAAGGAAGAATAAAGTAAAAGTGAAGAAAAGATACAAGAGAAACTGAAAACATGGAAGAAGCAAATGTGAACAAAAAACGAGAACTTACTGATTCGTTTTTAAAGATTTATCAACCCTTTACGGGTTATCCAAAGTCGAAACATATATTTGGATTGTAAGAAAAATCCGTTTTTACGAGTGATTATTGCATTAACAATATATTTTAGAGAATAACGATGATTTTCCCAAGTACAATCCTACTATTTGATCCATAACTGGGATAGGAGATGAATTCTTACTTTTCCTGACAGTACTTGCATATAAGTAAATGTAAGAAACCCGACTCAATTTAGAACTCGGCTCTCCGATTACTCATTACAAGCAGCTACTATTACACCACTGGCACACCCAGAACAAAGCAGTAAAATGAGTAACTGCAACAAAAACAAAAAGTAATAAAACGGAGACGAAGAAAAGAAAAGAAGAAAGGAGAACACTGGTAAAATAAAAAGAATACTAATACAAATGCTGAAAGAAGAGGAAATTAAAGATTGAATAAAGAAAAACGGAAAGAATGAGAAAGAGAGAAAGGGAGAGAGAGAGAGAGAATGAGTATAACATACAGATGAAGTAGAAAAAGAGATTAAAAATGAAAAAAAAATATTTCAGCATTGTAGTTAAAATAATTTAGCTTTATCCTCCGACGTTAATGGTCCATACCCGAGACGATGTTAAAAAGCAGTTTTTGGGAAAAGGAAGAACTGAAGCGACTTACAAGACTGGCGCAACAGTATCTTACTTTTTCATGTCCTTTGGTTGATTTTAGTAACTTTGGTAATAGTTGGTGGAATATAGAATTACTGAAAGAAACTAATGTAAAAAAAATATATTATTATACTTACCAAATGGAAAAAAGAAGAAGAAAAGGATGTGGATACGAAAGAGAGGCAGAAGATGAAAAAGAAATGAAAAAAAAAAAAAAATTGTGCGGAAAATGATGAAGCGATAGGAATGGCCGATAGGAAAAAGAGAAAAAAAAAGTGTATTACAACATTTGACGCTATAAAAGCAATTAAATGAAAAAAACAAAACAAAACAACCCCCCCCACAAAAAAAAACCCAAAGAAATTAGAGAAATAAAAGATAGAAAAAGATAAAATAAACGAATTTATAAGAATCGGATAGAAAAAAAATGAGGAAAATTAACTTGCTTAATGTCTGAGAGACGAAAAAGGACAGTTTGAAGATAGATATGGAAAGCCGAAAGAAGTAGAATAAGAAAGAAGAAAAGAAAAGAAGGAATAGAATATAACATATAGCATGCAACGACGACGACGACGACGAAGAAGAAGAAGAAGAAGTAGAAGAAGAAGAAGAAGAAGAAATGCCAGAAAAAAGACAAGAAGAAAAAGAAGAAAGAAAGAAAGAAAGAATGCTGGGAAAAAGAAAATAAAAGAGGGGGAAAGAAGAAGAAGAAGAAGAATAAGAAATGCCAGAAAAAAGACAAGAAGAAAAAGAAGAAAGAAAGAAAGAAAGAATGCTGGGAAAAAGAAAATAAAAGAGGGGGGAAGAAGAAGAAGAAGAAGAAGAAGAAGAAGAAGAAGAAGAAGAAGAAGAAGAAATGCCAGAAAAAAGACAAGAAGAAAAAGAAGAAAGAAAGAAAGAAAGAATGCTGGGAAAAAGAAAATAAAAGAGGGGGAAAGAAGAAGAAGAAAAAGAAGAAATTGCTGAAAAAAGAGAAGAAGAAGAAGAAGAACATCAACTACAACAACAACAGCAACAACAAAACAACAACAACAAAAACAAGAAGAACAAGAAAGAAGCAAAAAATGCTAGGGAGAAGAAGAAGAAGAAGAAGAAGAAGAAGAAGAAGAAGAAGAAGAAGAAGAAGAAGAAATATGTGAATGTTTGATGAGGAAAATTGAGGAAGAAAAGAGAAATGGAGAAGGAAAAAGAGAAAACATAACAGACAAGCATGCACCGGCGATTACGAAGAAGAAGAAGAAGAAGAAGAAGAAGAAGAAAATTTTGGAAAAAAGACAAGAAGAAAGAAAGAAAGAATGAAAGAAAGAAATACGGGGTAAAGAAGATAAGAAGAGTGGGAAAGAAGAAGAAAATGCTAGGAAGAAAAAGAAAGTGGATAAAGGAAAGGGGAAATGAAGAAGAAGCTTGATGCAGAAAAAAGTTTTATGAAGAAGCATGGGGTTTTGAGAACGAGAAGTAGATGAAAAAAAAAAAGAACGTGGAGGAAGGCCTAACGAAGAAAAAGAAAAAAAGAACTATAAAAAAAAGAAAATGAAAGAAAAAAAATGCTAGAGGAAATAATAGAAAATTAAAAAAGAAGAAAAAAATCGTAGGAATTCAGAGAAGGGAAAAAAAAAAAGAAAAGAACGACAACAACAAAAAATATAAAGAAAAGGTGGACATCGGCTTCAAAACTGTACAAAAAATTGCCTAAAGATATAAAAGAAAAAAGATGACGACATTGATCAAAAAAAGATAATCGATTTGACTGCCAATGTCAACCACCCAGCTAACCCAACACATATCGACAGACATACTCACACTCTAACGTGTTATATATATATATATATATATATATATATATATATATATATATATATATATATATAAAAAGAGTCTCCAGGTGCGAAAACCTAGACAAAATCAGCCGACAGTATTGCACAAATCGAGCAGTTGAACGCAGCCGCTGTGATAGGTGGCGGCTGGTAGTTGTGGCATCGAGGTCGTGCTTTTTCCAGAGACCAAGTGGAGGTACTGGAAGGTCGGTAGTCATTCATGTGGGCACTTTGCTCTTTGTAGTCGTTTTCATACCTAATTATTTGACAACCATTGCTGGAAGCACGTGATGTGGGGAAAAAAAAAAGAAGCAGTCCGAAAAATAAAAAAATGAAATAAAATATTTAAAAGAATTCTCTTCACATCTTGTTTCTTCTTTTATATTTTTTTTTCGAGAGGTTGCCGCATGACACCTCGAGACACGACCGGCTTTTTTGATTGGTTAGACTTTTATGCATACTGATTTAAACACACCTAACCATAAATAGTTTCTATATATGCTTTGTGTAATGTGTGTGCAAATTCGCGTGGGCCCGTGTGTATTCGTTTTTCAGTCAATCTTCCTATGCACTTATTTATATCTATATGTGAGCCGCCTGTTACATGTAATATACAGACCATTATACGACATACAAATTTATATATAAATAAAAATATATTAGCTTTAGGCCTTGTGCATTATTTTAGTCCGTTTGTATAGACATGATTAATATAAAACTTTTTATAAATAAATATATATCTGTTTAACTAAGGGCATGCCCCATGAAATCACCTCACATGTCATTGCTAGTTCTGGATTGCAATTTAGAGCCTATCTATCTATCTATCTATCTATCTATCTCGGCCTGTTTATATCTATGTATCCATCTCTCTATGTCGGCCTGTTCATATCTATCTATCTATCTATCTATCTATCTATCTATCTATCTATCTATCGCGGCCTGTTTATATCTATGTATCAATCTCTCTATGTCGGCCTGTTCATATCTATCTATCTATCTATCTATCTATCTATCTATCTATCTATCTATCTATCTATCTATCTAAGTATGTTAGCATGTTACTTATCTATCGATCGATCGAGTGATCGCGGCCTGTTCATATCTATCTATCTATCTATCTATCTATCTATCTATCTATCTATCTATGTTAGCATGTTATTTATCTGTCGATCGATCGATTGATCGCGGCCTGTTCATATCTATCTATCTATCTATCTATCTATCTATCTATCTATCTATCTATCGCGGCCTGTTTATAACTATGTATCCATCTCTCTATGTCAGCCTGTTCATATATCTATCTATCTATCTATCTATCTATCTATCTATGTTAGCATGTTATTTATCTATCGATCGATCGATTGATCGCGGCCTGTTCATATCTATCTATCTATCTATCTATCTATCTATCTATCTATCTATCTATCGCGGTCTGTTTATATCTATGTATCCATTTCTCTATGTCGGTCTGTTCATATCTATCTATCTATCTATCTATCTATCTATCTATCTATCTATCTATCTATGTCTATATGTGCTTATGGTGTGCTCTAAGCTCCCGCCAAGAAATGCACCCCTAAATCCTATTAAATGGCCAAGCAACAGACTTTTCTTTGATAGTGCTTGAATTTTTATCAGTTTCCCGTGTTTGGGTTTGATGAGTTGATTAAACATTTTCGGCGTGTCCGACTCCTAAAGATCACTATTGTTATGCTTAATGATCAGAATTTCCTTTGCCGAAAGGTAAAATAAATTTGACTATCCGTTTATCAAATATGTTGAAAGTATCTTACACACACAGAGAGACACAGAGAAAGTATCTTACACACACACACGCGCGCGCGCGCACACACGCACAACTACCTCCTTAAGTAGACGTCAAACATGCCACAATTCTAAGCGATTAATAAACATTTATTAACTCATAATTCACAAGAAATTTTAAGAAAAATACAGTACAGTACTTTATTTTTTATTTTTCTTTCGTAATGTAATTATTGATATAAACCATTACAGAGAGCGTGGGTAACTACAGACATCTGCCATTATCGGACCAATATTTTTCAGTTAAAACTATCTATGAGTCTGTATTTAGGTTTTTGCAGTACAGATCACCCTGGACAAGGCACGGAAGCCACTTGAGGTAGAGGGTTACGTTATGGGTTAATTTATATGGGTAAGAGGGGAAGATAACGGTTAATTTTAGACTTGAACAGGTTAAGGATGTAGTATTCGGGGAAACATCACCTGGGGAATATGTTCCACAGGGCAGTGGTTCGCGCAAAGAAGATGCTCGAGTTGAATGTGGGTGGTTGACTGCTATGTAAGTGGCCTGGCGGGTCCTAGCCGCGAAGGTTGAACTTGGCGGAGACAAGGAATGATGTTTGCTCGAGCATTTTCCATGGAAGTAGCGATTTAGCTCTTATAAAACTAGAAATATATATATATATATATATATATATATATATATATATATATATATATATATATATATATATATATATATATATATATATGTGTGTGTGAAAGTGTGTGTATATAAATATTAATAAATATATATATATATATATATATATATATATATATATATATAATTATTTATATATTATATGCATAATACTTATTAGAAAGCACCTCAATATTTGTCTGACGATCGCAATTGCGTGAAACCCAGGGTCACAAACATCAATCCAACCAAAATATATATATATATATATATATATATATGTAACCAAATATATGGATAAAGATCCGACAGTATGAAAAATATACTGAAAAAACATACAAAATGTGAGGATTTTTTTTTTTTTTTTTCAGTATATTTTTTATATATATATATATATATATATATATATATATATATATATATATATATATATATATATATATATATATATATATCACATAGAATGGTGCACAAAATGTGAAAACAGGTAAAAATTAATAGGAATATGGTGGAATCTGAAGAATAGACTCATCAACTTTTATTATTTCTCATGTTGGCTGATATAAATGTCATTACAAGCACAACGTTTCGGTTATGTACACTCTGGCCATCATCCGGCATCCATTGTTTGGCTGATAGGAGATATGTTTTGATTATTGTGTTATTTTGTCCCTATGATGCGATTTTTTATCCTGATTATTCGGTGTTTCGCCAACATATCAATATATTGAACTCTCGGCCACTAGAGGACAGTAAGGCATGTATAACCAACTCCTATATTTACTACTTGAGAATAACTCAACTCAGAATTGAAACACTAGTGAGTGTTCATACGTACATACATACATACATATATATATATATATATATATATATATATATATATATATATATATATATTTATAATGTGTATGTGCGTAGAGTTTGATGCTGCTTTTTGTCAGAAAGCCATCATTTTAAATTTCAATTGATTGCCCGTGAGTTTGTGAGCAACTTATCTTCCAGCTTATATGGCAGTTGAAAAACTTGAGCATGGTCTTTCGCCGCGTTTACGCACTCTCTCATATGGCTCTTCAGTTTCGCTGCCGATCCAAATATTTTTTCACTGTTTAGGCGACTGTGGATGACATATATATATATATATATATATATATATATATATATATATATATATATCTGTGTGTATGTGTGTCTGCGTCTGTGTGTGTGTTTGTGTATATGTGTGTTTAACAAATTTGCAGTATTTATAGCAGGGTAGTAAATATCGTAAAGAGTGTTCATAATGATTAAAACTGTTTATATATATATATATATATATATATATATATATATATATAATTCATATGTTCATAATGATTAAAACTGTTTACATATATATATATATATATATATATATATACGTAATACACAGTGTTTAAAATGAAATAAAACAGCGCGTATCTCTGTCTCTCTCTATATATATATAGAGAGAGAGAGAGAGAAAAAGAAAGAGAGAAAGTGAGAGAGAAAAAGATACGTGCTGTTTTATTTAATTTATCTCTCTCTCTCTCTCTCTATATATATATATATATATATATATATATATATATATATATATAGGGCTGTTTTATTTTATTTTAAACACTGTGTGTTACGTCTATCGTCTTGGATACTACTTGAGAAACGCAGGTATCCACTAAAACTACCGTTAGAGAAAATACAAATATTGGAGTAAAAGAAATTCATAGATTCGTTACAAACTACTTTGTTTACGTTTCGGCAGCTTTACATTGCTTTCTGTGACCGAGCGTTCTAAAGCAGTTCAGATCAAAGGGTCGTTTCTCCTAAATCGGAGGACACAGGTTCATATCCAACGGAGAGCACCAGCTGGTGGCGATGAGTCTCAATCATGATTGAACCCAGTCTTTAAACCATGGTTTTGTGTGATGGTTGGACTATTTATATATGCTGGTCAATGGTGCATGGTGGATATAGTGGTCCATTGTATTATCTTATGGTTATAACGGTTATTGGGCAGGTGATAAAGGTTAAGTTTCAAATAATTCTAGAGGCTGTTTAGTAAAATAACTGTGCATCCGAACGCAGTTATCTGTAATTATTGCATAATGTTGTTTCTTAACTGATTGCTCATTATTTATTATAGATTACTTAATACATACATACATACATATATATATATATATATATATATATATATATATATATATATATATATGTTGCAGTTAATGTTTTGAATTACTCTTGACTTGAGTGTTTTGTTTATTTATATTCATAATATTTTGTCACATTTTATTTTCATTTTTTCAGTTTCATCATATATATATATATATATATATATATATATATATATATATATATATATATATATGACTTAAAACACAAACGATGATCAAAGGAAGAATAAGAATCCAACAGGATGATAAAATAAAGAACAAATAGGAAACGTATATCATTCTAACATAGATTGACAAAATACAGATTTATATATATATATATATATATATATATATATATAATATTACAATATATATAATATTACAATAAAGACATTTTACATCACTACACCAAAACTTCACGATCGTGGATTACATATAATACAAATAATTTATGTGGGAAATTGGAAAACAACTTTTTACCTCTTTTGAAAGTTAAATGTGGTGGGAAGCTTTATGTTAGAATTAAAACATTTACTCGTGGGCATGTCTGGTTTAACCAATCAAAATCCAGATCTATGCTAAAATAGAAAAATTAAAAATTCAGGTCAGAATGTGGATCTATAAATTCATGCCTTGATACACTGACACTCTAGACATGTCAGTGTTGGTCATTATAGAGCGAAATCCAAATTTCAGATTTGATGAAGTCGACATAGAGTAACCTTGAAGAAAAAAATTATGTTTGAGAATTTAAAAAAAAACATATTCCGGAAACTTCTTGAAAGGACCGAATACATAAAAGTTAAAAGAAAAATATTTGTGGAACTTTAATATATTATGTTATTTATACTGAATGGGCCGTAAAATACAGGACAATAGTAAAGTTGAAAAAATCCAATAAATATTAATTTATAAATTTATATACTTATAAAATAATTGCTATGTAATTGTAATGCATAAAATACTTCTGAAGAAGTCTATTAACTATATTCTAATGTAAAATTTAGATAATGCCTACATAAAACTGTATATTCATTCCTTTAGTCTATTTCTATTTTTTGTATGTAAATATTCTCAGATGGCGGATATCAGTAGAAGAATAAAAATGAACAAAAAGACAAGAGGAAATTTATACTTAGCCTTAACCGACGCGTTTATTCATCCGACGGATTTTATCAAGGCAAATGTAATGATTTTATTTTTCAATAAGTAAACAGTTACTAATTTTTTTTTTTAAATTGAAAACTGCTCATAAATATTTATCAGGTTAACGGAAAATTTAGGCGTTAGATCTTAGATCCCGTCGTATAGCATCTTCGAAAATCTTTTTTATAAATTTAAAGACGCTCATCGATATTCATCAGGTTAACTGAAATGTCTAGGCATTTAGATCTTAGGCTACGTCATTTAGTATACTCGAAAAAGAAGTATGACTTTTTTTTAAAGAATATTGATTGGATATTGAAATATGAGATGGAAGTTTGTGTTAGACATCTTCAAAGGCTGAAATGATGAATTCAGCCGCTTTCTTTTGATTTTTCAACAATTTTCAATCGGTTTTCAGACAAAAAATTCACGATGAAATAGCCTCGATTATCGAACAAAATTTCCGTTCTCGAACAACATTGTCGAATTAACTCGATTCGGCAATGTTGTTCGAGAACGAAATATATATTTGAGTCGACCACGGTGTTGTATATATTCATGTGTTGTGCCGTGCTTTTCTTTTTCCAGTTTTATTGTACTGTGACATTTTTCTCTACATTGATTCCTATTGGAAAAAAAAACAGTTTCGGTTTACGAACATTTCGGGTTACGGACAGCTTTCAGGAATGAATTATATTCGTGAACCTAGGTTCTACTCTATTTCCATTTTCTTTCTTTTTAGCATCATTTCCATCATATTCTTTTATATAAGATCATATTTTTGTAATCATTTAGTTTATTTTCTTCCCTATAGTATTTATTGTTCCTTTCTTTTTTTCCTTTTTTTTTTCTTTGCAGACATCGTGGCTCTGTATATTTAAGTCCTTTCTACTCCTTTCTCCTTTTCTCGTCTCCCTTTTCGTTCTTTCTATGCAATTGTTTTCTTTATTCTTCTGATTTTCTTCACTCTCTCTTTAACCAATTTCTTCCTCGCCTCTTTTATTTTTTCTTTCATCTCATATTACCCGCCTCTTTAAAACTTTTCTCCTTCGTCAGACCTCTGATTGTCATCAGAACCATTACATTTTTTTTTCTCTTTCACTTGCTTCGACTTGCTCTTCCTTTCTTAATATTCTCCATCCTTTTTTCATTCTCCCACGCAATTCCTTCATTTTTCACCTTTTTCTATTTCTTCCTTTCTCTAACCTTTTGATAGCAGCCATCACCCGTCAGTGGAAACCGTGTGAGACAAATTTTACTGGGATCCGTTCGTTCGGCTGAACCCCACGGAGAGAATCCATTAGGCGCACTGGCTCAAGTGGGTGCCCCGTTCTCCTGTCTCCTCCCGTCCGCCTCCTCTATTGTGCCACCGTACTGCCTCTACCTCCACCTCCATAGCTACCACCACCACTTCTGTCAAATTCCCAACGTTGAATATTTCCTTCAACTCGGCCACCGCCATCAAGCTTAGAGCAATGATCATCGACAAGTTATTCACTGTCGGTATGTTCTGTCCGGTCATTTTATCAGACCACCTTATGCGTTGTTCCTTTGCTCTTTCAAATCATTTGATCATATCTTCATGTATTAAATCCTTATCTCTTTTACGTTTCCTTGTTTGGTCTTCCTCTTTTTTCTTTCTTTCTTTCTTCGTTTTTCTTTCTTTCTCTCATTGCAATATTACTTGTAAGATTATATTATTTTCCACCGGTCTCAGTTTTTCTCCTTTTCGTTTAATATTGATCATTCTGTTTTCTGCAACTTTCTTTCTTTCTTTCTTTCTTTCTTTTTCTTTCTTTCTTTCTTTCTTTCTTTCTTGCTTGCTTGCTTGTTTGCTTGCTTTGTGTCATTGTAATTTTACTTGTAAGATTATATTCTTTCCCAGCGGTTTCTCTTTTTCTTCTTTTCATCTTCTTTTTTCTTTCTGTTTTCTCCATCTTTCTTTCTTTCCTTCTTTCTTTTTTTCTTTCTTTCTTTCCTTGCAATATTATTTGCAGGATTACATTCTTTTGCACAGGTTTATATGCTATTTCTACTTTTCTTCTTTTTCTATTTTAGTGATCTTTCTTTCTTTTTCTTACTGTTTTCTCCAATTTTCTTTTTTGTAATTTCTTCTTTCTTTCTATTTTCTTCTACAAATTATATCTTTTGGTTTTCTACAAACTCTCTCATTATTTCTTTCTTTCTTTCTTTCTTTCTTTCTTTCTTTCTTTCTGCTTTATGCAATTTCTTTCTATCATTTTTCAGTTTTATATTAATTCTTTCCCTTTTCTACAAGTTCTTTCTTTTTTTCCTTTTATCTTTCATTCATTCATTCTTTTTTGTCCAAGTTTTTTGAAAGATTTTCTACAAATTGGCTCTTTTTCATTCTTTTTCTTTCTTTCTTTTTTTCTGTTTTACTTTAATTCTTTCTTTTCTCTTTTCTACGAATGCTTTCTTTTTTCTTTTTTCTCTTTCAATTATTCATTCTTTTTTTCTCAGGTGTCTAGAAATTCGCTCTTTTTATATATTTTTTCTTTCTCTTTTTTCTGTTTTGTTTTAATTCTTTCATATATTTTTTCTTCTGTTAGCTTCTTCACTTTCACTTTCCTCTTCTTGGTCTTTTGTCTTTGTTTACTTTCATGGTTGCATGCCATCTTTCTTTCTTTCATTCTTTCTTTTTACCTTAGAGTTAATATGCAGACCTGATCGTTAATATGCATTTCTTTCTTTCTTCCTGTCTCCTTTTCTTTCTTTCTTTCTTTCTTTCTTTCTTTCTTTCTTTCTTTCTTTCTTTTCTTTCTTTCTTTCTACCTTAAAGTTAATATGCAGACTTGATCGTTAATATGCTTTTCTTTCTTTCTTCCCGTCTTTCTTTCTTTCTTTCTTCCTTTCTTTCTTTCTTTCTTCTACAAATTATTTTTTCTTTCAATCTTTGTTTCCCTTTAAGCTCATCTTTATATCCCAATATTTCCCCATCTTTTCTTTCATTTTTTCTTTCAATAAATTATTAGCATCCTTTCGCTACTTTTTCCCTAATATTTCCACTTTCATTCTCCCTTTTTCAATGTAGTCTCTAAATATTCATTCTAAATAATTTCTTACTTTGCTATGTCACCTTTCTTCTCTCGCCATTTGTCTTTAAAATCTATTTATTTCATTCTTTTTTTGCCTTTATTTAAGTCACTCACTGATTGTCCAATATTAAATGTTTTACTTTAAGTATCATTCGTCTGGTATGTCACTATCTTATTCCTTTTCTCTCTCTTGATATGCTTGCCTCCATTTTCAGCTTTCTTGTTCTTCTTCTTTAATATTATTGACTCATACTTTTCTTTACCATTTATTTCTTCATTGTCAAAATTCTTCATTTGTCTTCATTCACCATTCATTTCGTTAACTGTTTGGTTTGCTACTTTCTTCTTATTGTTGTTGTTGGCCTTGTTGCTGTTGTTCTTTTTCTTCTTCACTTCGGTCCTTATTTCATTTTGTGGGTCCCTTTCTTTATTTTATCATTTATCTCTCCCTTTTCTTTCTACCTTCTTCGTCATACTTCTTCAAACATTTGATTGTATCTTCTTTTTCTTTGCCATTTATCTCTCAAGTATCCTTCTTCTTCTTCTTCTGCGCTTCCATCGTCTTCTTTTTCTTTTATTTTATGAATTCTTTCTTTCCCTTACCATATAAGGCTCCATTTCCTTCTTCTTCTTCTTCTTCTTCTTCTTCTTCTTCTTTCACTTGGTGGACGCTTTCCTTTCTTTAATATTTACCTCTCAATTTTCCTCCTCCTGCTCCTTTTCTATTAAGGATTCTTTTTTTTTTTTTTTTTTTTTTTGTGGTTTCTTTCTTCCCTTTATCATATAAGTCTCCATTTCCTTCTTTTTCATTCTTCTTCTTTAACTTGGTGACCTCTCTCGTTTCTTTATCATGTATCTCTCAATTTTCGTCGTCGTCCTTCTCCACCTGCTCCTTTCTTTTTTTCTTCTTCTTCTTTCATTTTGTTGTCTTTGTCTTTTCCTTACCATTTTCCACCACTTTGACCGCCCTTGTCAATATCATCCCCTCTTCACTTTACTCTGATCACATCCAACTCTTTGCACTTTGCCTTACATTCTTTTGTATTCGTTTCCTCACTTTCGCCTACTTTTCCCCCATCTCAGTGATATTACTGTAGATCCTCTTCGCATTTTTGTACTTCCCCTTTCAGCGCAGTTGTCGGCAATGGCCGCCTCCCAATTCTAATCGTCAATTCCTTCTTTTGACGTCGGCTGTCCGAGCAACGTTGCTAAATAAATAAATATAACCGGACGTATCTGCAGCTTGATTTATCCCGGAAATTCTCAATCCGTTACAGGCCGCCATTGCTACGGACGTCCCAGATGGAGCGAATCATTCCCTGGGGCGTCCATTTTATTGTTGATCAACGGCTGACAAGACGATCGATGGGGAAAGAGCGCTGATTGTTAGGACGCTCAGTGAATAAGGTGTCCGCACGAGAGAGCTGCTGATCAGGGAGGAGGCTAAGTGCGTGTAGGGTTGTAGGTTTTGAAGATGATGGCAATAGTTCCGGCTTGGCTTATAAAGTGGTTTTGAAGAGCATCTGAAGTGAGATAAAGAAAGTTAGGACAACACACACGCTTTCGTGTCTAACTTCTCACTTATTTCTTCTTCCTCCCAGTCTTATATATATATATATATATATATATTTGAATAAAAAATAGACCACGTTAAGATTCCATGTAATAAGTTATTTCACCATAACCCCTTTAACAGGGTTCTGGATCATCAGACTTTACTTCCAAAAGTTGAAATGAAAAATGAAAAGAAATTCACACGTTTTTGACGGACCTCATCAAGTATACGTAAAATTAACGAAGTGAGGAAGTCAGGTGGGAGAGAGGATATGAGTGTGTTATATGTATCATTTCAATTTCCTATTTTTAACCCCAGTGTGTCGGATAGATGTTGCTCAAATTTAACGTGTCTCGTCTCTAGATATAGATGGTTAAGGGGTGAGGGAGAAGACCGACATTAAAGGAAGAAGCTACAACAATCCCAATCAATTACATTCCACAACAGGTTTCCTTCAAATTCTTAGACGCTGTTTATTCGCGTTACTTTAACGGGCATATTTGGGAGGTTAAGGTTTGATAAATATCTAAATGTCTAAACAATCTACGAAGAAATTAATTTGAAATTCAGTGGAGTTTTGGGTATTTTCTATGAAAGAGTCGATTGGAAAAATTCATAGACAGTACATTGAAAGAGTAATCCATTTTATAAATATTGCTATCTTTTTTATTCTACTAAAACTTTTATCTTATTGCTTGTTAGGTTAACATCTATTCGTTTGATTTTTGTTCATTAAGTAAACTCGTGATTGTTTTTGATTTTTGTTCATTAAGTAAACTCGTGATTGTTTTATGTACCCAATTATCAACGGTTATTCCCATTTAAATAATTTTATTATCAATAATAGGGTAGTATATTTCAATCTAAATTAAAATACCATTTTAAACCTTACCTTCATGCTATTTAAAATTCACTTCCAATTAGAGAATATTAGATGAGAGATTTGGATGGGATGTCACTAGCAGAAAATTAGGTCCTTCTTTTACAATCTTTTATCTACACATGTCTTAAACCCCTATTTATATCCACATACCTATATTTTTTTATATGCCTATGAGTTCCTATATACACCTGCAAACACATTCACACAAAAAACCATATGTATATTTCCATATTTACACATCTGCAGAGAAACGCACATCCATATATCTCCATACATATCTCCACATACACTTATACTTACATATATACATATACACATAAGGACACCTGTATATCCATATACATTCATATACATACGCCCATATATATATATACACATATATATGTATACACATATACACATACACACACATATATGCATACATACATACACACATACATATACATACACACACATACATGTATATACATACGCAATATGCAGCATATCTACATATATGCGTTAATTTGCACTTACACATATCTACACACGTACATGTTCCTATCCTTATTTCCACCCGTGCACCCACTTATGCCTGCGTTCGAAGACTATCTCAGTATTTAATTACATTATCCATATCTTTACACATATAATATTACCCACTCTTTCATATTTATGGCAAAACATATAGGTACCTATCTAATTGTACACCTCCACACTCATAAAAAACAAAAAAAAAAAACCCCAAAAAACCTGGTATGCTTCTTTTTCCATATAAAAACATATACATGTACATATCAACAGGTGTCTCAGTGTTCAAATACATTACCATAGTAGTATACATATAGTCATGTGTTAGCGTTCATGTGTTGCATAGTAATATTTCTAAAAACAAAGGGAATTCAAAATATTCAAAATTGCTCTTCCTATAAGATTATTTCCCAATGTATTTGCTTAGGTTTAGGTTGTTTTTGTGCCGGCATTTAAAAACTAGTTCATTATGTTTATTTAGTAGTATGTCTGGATCTTTATGTTTGATTATGAAGATTTTCTCCTTTAAGCATAAGTCGCATCTGTCTCTGAAGCTCTTGATATTATTTTCCACTTTATTTGTGGGGTTAGGCCACTCTCCAACAAATTCCAATAATGATTTGATAGTGCCGTTTGGTTCTTTTTACACTTATTTTTGAAGGATTAGCGATGGTTGTAAAGTCGGTGTTTCCAATTTCCCGCCGATATTCCTATGTATATCCTTTTCTCCTCAACCTTTTCTTTGGGGAAAATTGTTGCTTCATATATTGTGTCCTCTGCCATGCATATTCCTTCAACTATATATATATATATATCATATATGTGGTGTAGTTTAGTTTATATTACAATGAATCATTCATACAAAAAAGTATATTAGTAAAGTTATGCATATTTAAAAAAGACCTTATACAACTTATAAGTTAAAAAAAGAAGGATCATAACATTCGTCGAGTGATTAGTAGGTTAATGGTTCTTTAAAATTTTGATAGCGAAGGGGTTTCGCCATTTTATATTATTAACTTTACTAATTTACTTTTTGTATGAATGATTCATTGTAATATATATATATATATATATATATATATGTGTGTGTGTGTGTGTGGTATAAAATGACAATTGGAAGAAAAAATCTTAGATTTTGCCGACGCGTTTCGTCTTCCGACCTTTTCAACGCAAAAATGAAATCAAAATGCTTTTGTTGTTATAGTTACATTAAAAAATCCAAATTTAAAAAAAGATAGACGCTTCTGTCTAAGCCTTTTTTTGGTTAATGTAAATTACCTTTATAGTAAGGGATTTTTTCCCATGTCGACAATATAGTTAAATTCCCAGATCAATTATATACCAATCTGTTTTGTCCACATAATTGATCTGGGAATTTAACTATATGTGTGTGTGTGTGTGTGCGTGCGTATATATATATATATATATATATATATATATTTAGTTGGCTTGATGTTAGTGTGTGACCCTGGGTTTCACGCTCTTTGCGATCGTCAGACGATAAACTAACATCAAGCCAACTAAATAACTTAGATTTATCACTGATATTGAGCGCTTTCCAATAAGTATCGCTTATATATAATATATAAATAATATATATATAAAAATTGAATATATATATATATATATATATATATATATATACATACACATTTTACACACACACACACACATATATCTTAAAATGTTACTTTTAGTGGATACCCGTATTTGAGTAGACGTTCTGTTTTATTTTAAACAGTAATTATTTCATCCACAGGCCTGTATACTCGAGAAAACTGATTATTATTAAAAACTTACTGCTGATTTTTGTTTTAGGCTTTCATATTTGCCTATAGCGGGGCCCTTAGCAACTGCTACCACCCCATGTTAGGGTGGACCTGGAAGTAATAGCAATTAAGTGGTGATTTCACGCTCCTCAAAACCTTCAATCTGCCTATCGAGAGCCTTGCTACCGGATGGAGTTTATGATCATACACAGGACGAGAGGACCAAAGTCACTCAGGAGTAATTAATATAGCGAGACAACAATAATAAAGATGTCGTCCCACACTCCCGAAAACCACCAAACTCCTGATCAGTGGCCTTGCTGCCTGGTGTAGTTTAACTTTATACCCAGGACGATCAAATTTGAGTAAGAATATGTGAATACTGACAACATAGGAAATGTTTATTTCAGTTCACGCTAAGCCACTGTTTAATTTTAACTCTGCAAACACCAGAGGGATGTGCTTAAATGTCAGTACATCAACCGGTTCCTTCAAAGTCATCTGTCGGATATTTCAACCTGTTTATACAGCCGGTATCTCAAATGCGAATGTTTATCTCCATCTAGATTGTTATATGAATAATTGATTCTTCTCGTCTGTCAGAAAATGCTTTCTCTTGGAGGTCGAAATAAAATGCGGGATATATACTTATGTGAAATCAAAATTGCTTACCACTGATTATTCGGGAAATACATAGTTATAGCGTGCATGAGGCAACCTCCATATTTACGACTCTCTCTCTCTCTCTCTCTCTCTCTCACTCAATTTCTCTCATTCGGTCTCAAAGGAGATGAGCTATTATGTACACTGGGTGCATTCATTTACATAAAATAGTTAGGTAGTAGTGGAGACCCTTAATCGCCCATTTTCCTGAACAGGTACAGCACATTGAAGGAGTATTAGATGAAAAGGCGTGTCTAATTAACACTCTCTTAATTTAAACCAACTGACCCAAAAACTGTCGTGCAAACATTTTTATCAATAAATTTATTTATAAGTAGGGATGTACAAATGAAAAGCTTTTAAATTAACAACTTTTTTCAATTTCACTGAAACAGACGTTAAACACTTCGAACTAGTTCAGAAACTAACTAATGAATGGAAGGACAAATTATTACTGAGATGTTTCTGTGTAAATAGAGTTGGTCTGAAACAAGGAATTCAATTTAAAATGGCCGACTCACTTGTGTATATATTAATGCTGATTCTTTAAATACTTCATTATTCAGACTTCAATGCAGATATAAAAATAGTTGTTTTGACCGGTATAATGATTTTATTGAAAGTCAACATGATATATTTATTCCACCGTAATTATAGACATTATAAAGAATTATAAAATATCTTATAATATAAGAAGAAAGAATATGCATAGGA